ATCAACCGTTATATATTCTTAATAGCCAATTTCTTTCTTATTATTCATATTTTTTCATTACTCATAGAAAGAGACATGTTATCAAGAAAAACAGAGCTATGACAACTGCCTAACGCATATGAAGTCTCAAAGTAGAGATAATAAGGTATTATAAATGTAGGTATATACAAGTGTATCAAAAACGAATGAATGAATCAATCTCAGAAATGCTGATGAAAATATTAGATAACCAGTTAAAAAAAATTATTTATCAATAAGTTAAGAAAAACTTAATGTTGTCATACACTTATTATTTTTAAACATATTATAAATGTTGTTTAAGATATAAAAGATTTGCATTGAGATTACGAAAGTATTTCAATATTAAAAAATATTTCAAAACAATTTAAATCTGTTCCACAATCCTTTATATGCAGTTTTCTTCACGAGTAGAAAAGAAAATTTTAGTAGGTAAAAATAATTAACTTACAGATTTTCAATTAAATTAAGTAAAGTGCTAGTTAAAATCTGTTCATTAAGTGCACTTCATTGTTTATTGTCTGTGCTTAAAGTTAAATTTTTCTTTGCTCTTATTTTATCTGCAATGATAGTGCTTTACCCATGCAACAGGCAACAGCATTAAGTAGCAGTAAACATTATGTGGTAACCCTATTATTTCTTTAATTTTTTATGAGTACATCCCGTTCTAGTTGTACATTTTGCTTAGTTTCTTTAATAGAAAAATTTTTACAAGTGACTTGGTATTTGGTTTGTTAACAAGTATATTACATTAGATTATGTTCAACTTTACTTTGTTGTGAAAATTTAACTTAGAGTGAAAAGGGAACAAATTGTTTGTTTAGAAATTCTTTGTAATACAAGCAAGGATTAATACAAAACCTTAACGAATATTTACAGACTTGATTCGTTTAATTACCTTGAATCAGTTTAAATGAAACAACTGGAATTAGTTTAACAGTATTGGGACATCATCTGTTACTAAGTTTCTAGGATCTGATTTTATTTAATGAAAGTAAAATTGAACAAGATATAACCTTAAAAGTGATGTCTGCTTATAATTAGCTAGTTGAAGATAGTAGGCTTTATCTAAAAATCCTTTTGAAAATATAAACTGGTACCTCTAGATAAACTTCCATAGAATAGCCTGATTTTTCAGCTGACTTTTTTATTCTTGTGAATTTCGTGGTGGTGACCATAAATAAGGCTGATGTCAGTCAGTCGACTTAAGTAAACGATTTTCGCAGTAAATTTTATAAGTAAAATGTTTTAGTATAGCGTATGAATAAAGAACTTAAATTTTCGATTGATTATCTATGAAAATGACAATATTACATATATTTTTTACAAGCCGTTCTAATTGCTAAGACTTCAGCATAAATAACTGTAACTGAATGAGGTAACCATAGAGAAGAATTCACATCTGTGAGTGGTAAACCATCACCTTAATAAAGTGAAAATCCTCTCCAATAAAATTTTTAGGTTTTCCAACTTGATAGAGTAGACTGCGAAGCACGTGCTGGAAGCTGCCGGGCGCTGATGCATAAAAAATTGAAATTCATAAATAAATACACAATTTTTTATTATGAACTGAAATCATTATAATTTATTGAAGAGATAGAACTTGGTGTGTTACTCTAAGTCCAATATCAAGATTAAATCGGTGATCCTAATGTTTTACTTAATTAAAAATGAAAAATTTTTTGGGTTTAAAAATTCCTTTTCTATTTAAAAATTCCTAATTCCTTTCTTATTATGAAACAAAAATTATTTTCAATAAAAAATGATTAACAAATCAGCTTTTTCACTTTACTAATGCAGGCAATTGGTGCTCAACTTAAATCAAGCTTAAATATGTGCTAAAATAAGAAATAATCAAAATGTCAAATAAACGTACTGAAAAATCTGGTTCAAATAACTCTACAAAGTGCTGACTAATAGCACTAAGCAAACGAAAAATTAAAAATAACGATTTTCGAAGTATCCAGGGAAGATTTCTACATAAGTATTTTTAGTATTAATATAATTACAATAATTTCAAACATTTTAGAAAGTTCTTTTCAAATTTGATATTATAAGTTTTTTATCATAATGTTTTTACTTTACTCAAGTAGTTTTATCTTTGTGTTAAACCAAACGTTCTTTAGAGCAATTCCCCTCACTTTTAAATTTATGATCCTTGCTATCTTAATAAATAACTTAAGTATCTATAAACAATAATTTAACCGAGCTGTCTAATGTATGTGAATTGTTGCATATTGTTTTTTATATTTATTGTCTTATCTTTTAAGTAAACAAAGGCAATTTGAACTTTTAGAAAAGTGATGTCCCACCAATGGGTACTTACTAAAGCGTCCTTATTATGCGAAGGACTCTAACACAGTAAGTGATAAGTAACTTAAATAAATAAAATAATTTTTAGAAAATAAAATGAATGTGCTTGCAAATTCGCATCCAATATAAGTACAACCGGGAATTGTCCATTTAATCGCTTCACACATATTATTTAATATATTTATTTAGTATGGATAAAAATAAGTTAAACCAAACAACAATTTGTGGTTATTGCGGCATATCAGGAAAACATTATTTTTCCGGCATGCATATGAATATGAATTCATTGTAAACGACTAGGGTAACCAAATATTTCAATATTTATTAACTGAGATACTTATAACGAATTTCATTTGTGAATTTTTGAATTATCCATTGAATTGCTCATATTTCATTGACAAAGTGGTTTACGATAGCAGCAAACGGTTTGATTTTCTGACATGTAGGTTTGATTGTGTAAACGTAGATATTTACAGTATCAAATGCTCTCAATACAACCAATATACTACACAATGCAAAATATTTAATATTATTTGCACTATTTTAATTAAACTCAAATGTGTTTTAAATGTTTAATTGCGCATTCCATAAGTGGCCCAACATTTTAACACATGTGAAATTTGATTGAATTTTCACATGCCCCAAACGTATTGTGCCTTAAAACATTTTTGACATTTCCGTCATTGTGAAAATTTAATTAATTAAATTTTGCAACTGCCACAAAATAGGCCTATCAGCCCACCAGGAACGTTTATAGTAGATACTCGTATTAAAAATATTATTAAATAATATTTACACTTACTCTTCATTTTACTTATACATTATTAAACATCATTAAACGGAAAATGTCCATAATGTATTCATAATATCTTATTTTATAGTATAATTTATGCTAAATCAGTATACTTAGTCGTTTTAATAGATATTTTGCATAAAATTATTTTATTTTAAAATCACGCTAATAACAAAGAAAAATAATCATTTCACAAGTGTACGCACATTAAATGCAATTAGTTTGCAACATTCATAGATACATAGATACATACTCGTAATAAGTTGGAACCAAAAATTTAAAACTTTATTAAAATGCTTTGTCACGTTCTTCATGCCTCATGTTGCACAGTCACGAGAGATGTTTCTCTACTCATGCCAGAGTTTCCCACTCTACGTTACACATGGATTGGCTTCTCGAGTAAGTAATAAAGTTTTCATGATAAAAATTACTTTAAATAGGATATTATAAACAGGAAGAAGAGAGTATGAATGGTTGGTTGGTCGGAAGGAAGGAAGAAGCTAGAGTGTACATGTTAAGCACATCATTTACAATTTGCAACATGTGTTGCATATGACGTTGCTTGCATTTTAGCACTTCTGAATTGTTGCCGTGCATGGCGTCCTAGTCTTCTTCCACTTCTTAATTTGGCTAATTTATGACGACATTTTAAAATATTTTATATTATCTCACGTTGCCAATGACTTTGTTTTAATATTAATGAGAGCACATACATATCTCAGTACCATTTCTTATCCAACTCCATAAACTAGTGTGGAATAGTAGTACAATAGATAGTTTTTCCAGTATTTCTTCGCACGTCGTGTGTTGAAAGTAGAACAGAAGAAACTTGAGATAAGCTAATTGCATCCATGTAACTTTACTATGATAGAAAACTGATTTTAAAAATGCAATTTATATATCACAGCAATTTGGAGCGTTGTATAAATATTAATTTATATATTTATCAAGTAACGTTTATATTTATTAAAATAAGATTCAAAGGTTTTTCACATTTAAAAGTAAACAATTATTTTATTAAATTATTTTATATAATCATACTTCATTACAACTCTATGGGTGTGCCGTATATAGCAAAGTGGCCAACTCTTCTATCTAGAACTTGCTCAAAATCAGACTCTCCGAAGACTCTTCCAAGTGCCTTGGTACATCCGCACAAAATACATGCTAAGAAATTTAAGGATAGATCCGTTCAAAAAGTACATAAGGGCCAGAGCCCTGAAGCTATTCACAAAAACCGACAGGCTGCCCTACTTAGCACCAACTAATCTCAAAATAAACTCTAGCCGCACGGGGCGATACGCAGATTTTAGATCAGTTGTCAAATAATCACGAACCTTTTCAGGAATATTTACATTATTCAGTGAGAAGGGTGGGATTTTGCAGAAACCCCACAGCTATCAAGAAGTAAAAGTGTTCAGATGCACTAACTGGAAAATGACTGAAGTACATTCATTACCCCTTATTATACTTAATACTATTTCACTTGTTATTTATTATAATCTTATTAAAAACACTTTTTTTATGACTTATTATTGACCACACTATATAATTCTTTTCAGACTGATGACAGACTCCATGATCGATTGATCCATAACTTATTCTCTAGACCGAAGAAAGTTCGGTTTTCTTATTTATTATCTCATATACTTATCTTCTATTAGTTTGAATTATTTACCAAATATTATGTACTAGATTCATTCTTCAGTCGTACTATTGTTAATATATTTTTCTGATCTATTTTTAAATTAGATTAAACTGGCTAATATAAAAACGTTGGGATGTGAAAAAGTAAAGATGTTTTTTTTATGAATATATACTTTCATAAAATTTACTAAAAATATTTTTTTAAAAATATAACAAATAAATTTCTACAAGTTTCAATCAAATCTTCTGCGTTTAGTTTGAAATTTTTTGTTTTTAATTGTAGTTATCTTAAAATGCATTGTTATTGAACTTGGAATTAGCTAAACGCAAAGCGTCTTGTTGATCGAAATTCAGGGTTGCCATACATGCGGCATAGGTGTCGATGCTTTCCTCTATATGTCTTATGTAGCACAGTATGCGTGTACCATCCTGGCTACGTGGCTCGATCACATCGTACCGAAAAGCATCTGCAAAAATTTTGAACACTTTCGTAACAGTACGACACTCGCTTACGTAGACGTGTTTAGCATCCAGCAGATCACAGATGAAATTAATACAGTACTCACATTCTCTTTGTTCTTGAGTTATTGGCATGTAATCGAACCAGCACTTGAATGCCTCTTTAGTATATGGTATGGCCGAGCAGTTGAATTGCAGTATTCGAGCAATGCTAGCCATAGCATTATCGAATATGTTAAGTGCAGCTTCTTCATCGGTAAGTTTGTTACGTGAAGTTATTATGGAGAGAAGCAGTTCCATATATGTTTTGCATAGACTTGCAACCGATATGCCAGCATATTGTGCTATGACACCACAAGCAATAATAGCACCCTGTCGTACAATGGCTGGACATCCCCCTATTAGATATCCAGGTAGTTTGTCAGTAAATAAATGAATGTATGGAAGGCATTTATGTGAGCAACATTTTATGGCATCCATATATACTTCTAGAATGTAGCGGATATCGATTGGACATTGTTCATTATTGAATATTGTAACAAAATGCGGGTTTAGTTGATCAATTTTTTCAAGAACATTATTTCCATAGGTTCCAAAAAGCGCACGTAGTAAACTTAAAGAATGTGGTATAATACTCTGCAGCACTAATGGATCAGATGTGTCTGTTGTGACAATATTGTTAATGTAACTACTGCAGTTGCTTCGAAATTGTGGATCAATTGTTTTATTTATGTAAAAAGTGATTTTACTGTCTATGAAATCTAGTAAAGTTTGAAAAGCAATACCTTGATAACTGGAATTTTGCATAATATTGAAGCATAGTGACAAATTTGGCAGTAAGTTCAACTGTGTCCTTAAATCCATTTTCCTAATTATAAAGTTAATTATTTCACCCTGCATTCTAATCCAAACATCCATTGCAAGTGTGAGGTCTTCTGCACGGAAGCAACGGAGAAGTTTCGGTACCGCTAAATACGCAAACATATCTGCAGAGTAGTAATCGCAACTAAATAGTGAATGCACCATTGGTACTATTTGTTCAGCGTAAGGTGCAAAATCTGCTTTTAAAGCAGTGCCAAAAACAGTAAACATTTGACAAGCAGTTAATTTTATTGCTATGATATCATCCAGTTCAGCGTAAAAGTCTGAATCTGTCATTTTGCTTAATATTTCATCGATTGGACCAATAATGTCCCACTGATTAAAACATCTCATTATAGTTGGTATGTACTTTTTAAATTTTTTGCCAATAGTGCTACAAATGTCAGTGAATGCAGACATTAGTTTGACTACTTCTATATCGTAGTACACAAAATTCGTTTTTGTCATTACATCAATAAATGTTTCCATAATATGATCAATATCGTTTTTTAATTGCTTTTTGTTTAGAGTTGAGATTATTTTACCAGCACATTCAAAGCATGCAGCTCGTAAGCTCCACATCCTGTCACCTGTGGCCACTTTGAAAATTGATAAAATTATATCCAAAATCTGTTTATAGTTGCTGTGTACACTTTTATTACATTTCGTGGCAAATGCACCTAAAGCAGTTAATAACCCCTCTAGAATCAGAACTTTGCCTTCCAACTCTAAGCTCTTAGTTAGTCTCTTTAATGACTTTTCAATTAATTCCACATATTCTTCTGCAAAAACATTTATAGCGACGAATGGAGCCTCTTCTATTATCAATGTCATTGTTTGCATTGCCTTGTGCGACACTCTTGGTACATTTTCGTACTTTATAATATCTCGCATCATTGGGATTAAACGATTTTGAAAGAATCTTGATTCAATAATTTCGCGATGCGATCCTAATGCATTGATCAGATCACATACACAATAGCGAAGACGGGGATGATCATGCTGCAAATAGAACATTAGGCTATATGCAAACTGTTCACTGCGTGGTGGAGCATGTTGTACCTGAAAACTTCGTACAATTGTTGTTGCCACACCTATTATTGTATGAACTCCCTTCCATGACATTCTATATTTTTTAGCCGTTATTGTTTGTAGTAGAGGTTGGAATAAAATTTTCTCCCCTAGTGCTTTAAATAGCCGGTGAAAACATGTAAGAGCAACTTTACGAGGTTCAAAAGGATCTTCGTCAAAATTTTCGTCGCATTCGTGCCATTCATCATCATCTTCAACAATTTCCGCCATATCCATTAAAATCGGTAATAGGTATAACACATATTCAATATACAGATTCTCGACTATAGGAGTAAATTTCTCAATAATTGTAATTACAATTTCTAGAGCGAGGTAATTCCATAAAGCTTCTAAATTAATCGATGTCAGCACATGAAAACTTATTGATAGAAGAGTTTCTATATGATTACTAAAAAAGTTGCTGCATTCTTTAACGGTTTTGACTAGACACTGAAACAGTTTTCGACTTCTACCAAATTTAATGGTTCCTTTCACAATCGTTATTAGTTTGGGCACGAAGTCAGAAAATTGTGCGATCACCTTTTCTGACAGATTGTCGTGCGTACTCATTAACCGCACAAAATCGAATACTGCAAGCGTAGCAGCACGTCTCACAGTACTGGAATTTCGTTCAGATAAACAACTTTTAATGGATTTCCGTATATTATTTAAAAAAACAGGTGTATCGTACGCATTAAAAATGAAGAGTACACTGGCAAATGTTCGCATGCAGGTATGTATTGTATATACAGAATTATGAGTTGACCAGTCAAGTAATAAAGCATTCAGTGCAGGCCATTTGTAGTCTTCGTCTTCTTCGCTTAAGCATTCTACTGCTTGTGTAATAATCTCCCCCCAACATTTGCTGAAAGTGCGGGATACTGCAACATTGCCAGAAGACACTAAATTTTTCAATACTTCCTCTTGAGCTGAAACTGAGAGAGCGGAGTATACTAAACTGAAACAATTAATTGTAAAGCAGGCTTCTAAGACACGAATAGACATTTCCCGATATTCTCTCCCCTGCCTTGTGTCAGCCATTATGCTAAATAGTGCGTGACATCTCCATTCAAGACGCATTTTGTGAAAACACTCTTCAACCTTGTTTCTTGAATTTGTGTCATTTGCAATTAACAAATGCAATGTGTAAATGACTTTATTCTTATATCTTCCTAACAATTTTTTCTCATTGGCAGCCATAGTATCTGTGAAAAATAAATTTGTTAAAATTGACTTCCAAAATTGACTTACAAAATTATTGATTACATATCACAGTGTTTTATTTGAAACGCTTATGCGTTATCGTTAGGATCTAAAACAACTAAGTGAAATAGGTTGGTAGCGTTTACTTATTTATATTGAAAGTTAAGAGAAGAGATGAGTTAGCAGAAGTGTGGTATTATTTTATCTCGAGGATTGGATAATGTCAGGCCTACTACTCACGCACATAAAATTTTCTTTAGTTCAGACAGACCCCTCAGCTAAGAAAGAATAAAAGTATCCAGTTAGTGCAACTCGGAAAAATCTCAACATAAGACGAGTAAAGTTAAGTTATACCATAAGTAAAACCAAATAGTATATAGCTGTGAAATTCAAAATCTTATAGTCACAATGCCAGTGTTTAATCCTATAACAAATCAGTTTTTTGTTAAAGCGCTATCGTTCATACGAAATCTTAGTGCAAAAGCATCTGCAGTTTAAGATAAACACTTATGTTTTAATAACAAACTTAATTGTTTAAATATTTTATTATTTTAGTTAGTTTGTTTTTCAACATGAAGAATCAATTAGAAATCTATTAACTCAATTTTGAATTTGAATATGGGTCATTCTTTTACAAACCGGACGGATTTTGGTAAAAAATGACATCATGATCTCCGATTTGGCTGCAATTTTTTTTATGAGCTCCTTTCATAAAATAAGAAGACCCGTATCTCGGGAAAAAAATTTTGTGATTTTTTTCCTAGGAGATATGGACCCATGGGGTTTTGAGAATTGACATAGTAGACACATTTTCAAATGGCTATATCTCAAGTTCTATAAAAGGTAAAAGAATGACCCATATACGTTTCAATTATATTTTTTAATTTGCTATTAATAGTTTTTATTGACCTAAAGTATTTTCTTCCTGACCCTAATAAACTCCGGCAAAGATGCAAACTATGGAATTCGATATTTTCAATTCTTCACTGTAAAGTTAGCTGGAGTCCAAGTAGGTTCTTTTATAAAAACTACAGCTCGTTGTGGCTTATTATATATCTGGTTTGTCAGTGATTCCAGTAAATTGCTTGAAATTGGTATTATGTAAAATAATTTTGTATTTAATATGAATTTAATTTACATATTCATAGTATTAGATTTTTATTAAGGAATATATAAAAGGAAAATATTCAATTCACGCGAAACATATGACACTAAATCAAGGATTTTCATGCAGAGAAAATATTTTCACTCCTGTGGAAATAAAATAAAAAACATTCCAATGAGATAAAAGTTGTATATTTTAAAATTATCTTAAATGACATGCGAGAAAAATGCATTTATATTTTTCTAACACAACATTTTATGACAATGTTGAGCACACATTGGTATCTGCTCCTGTCACGCTTTATGGTGTGACTCAATAAAACAACATGACATTCTGAAATTTAAGATTGATTGCGTGAAGGATGACATGCTGACATAAAATTAATAACTCAAGCTAACTGCAATAGAGCCTGGAGGTGATGAAGGCGAATGCTGCACAATGGAATACCAAATACGCCAGAAGCAACACTTTCATTAATTTAATGGTTTCGCTTGCCTGAAGAAACAATAAAGCGCTTAATCGCGCAACTCCAACAAACAATGGAATTAAGTGAGGCAGTTTTGCATAACTCAAAGGCACTAATAGTCTTCCATAAAATTCGTTTCTCCATGCTTTGCACTTACAAAAAATAAACAAAGCCAAAGATAATAAAAGTTAAAAAAATTACTTTAAAATCTTATTGTTCTTTAATATACGGAGCAAGTTTGTTACGAAAGAAATCTGAAATATTGGGATAATATAGTATTGATATGCAATACAAAGTTACTACGGACTAAAGAAACAAATCTAATTCAAAAGAGATAACAACAAGACGTTAGATCCAAGTATATCGGGTGTAAAGTTAATTAAAGGAATGCCAAATGACTTATTCTACTCTGGTTGTGCTGTCATAGACAGTCCTAAATTCTATAAATATTATAATGGAATATTGAGTTCCCGAAATTTTTTTCCATCGTCTCTTTAAGAATGAAAATCTGTTCAATTGTTGATGTGCCTGATAAATCCATATTACTATAGGCCATTGTGCCGAAGATAACCTTCTTATATAAATGCCAAACAAATGATGCTCACAATGACGTATACAGAATTTTTTGAGCTGAGTCTACATGAACTATGAAATCGTTTTAACTTAAAATGAAAAGTACCTGTGGACTATCAAACCTCCACATCTGTCGAGTATATCGCACGGTGTTGGATTGATGTGTAAACATTGGCGTTTCCTGATACGCTTTTAAACTCAAAACTATGCCAGTCAATATATTTTTACAGCTATTTATCTAAAAATTTTGGTAAGTATCACAATTAGCAACAATAAAATTATTTGAAAAAATGTAAATGTGCCACTCACTTAAAGCTAATAATACAGCATAGATCAACCAGATAATGAAAGAGTCAAAATTTTAATTGACTCAGTTTCTAGCTCTTTACATATACTTTCGTGAATATGTATCAAACATGTAAGGGACTCCACTCGTCAAAACAAAAAATTCAAAAAAAAAACATTAATTCTACTAATAAATTATCTACTATTTTTTTAAATTTATTTATTCATTCAAACTCGTTCTTTGAAGTTAAATGCACAGCAATTATTTATATTATTTAAGACAAAATTATTTTCGATAGCAACTTGAAAAGTAGCTCAGTCTCTTTTGTCATCCTCAACTCGCAGTGTGGAACAAAGGGCCTCAGTAATTGTTTCTAAATACTAAATTACTTCAGTATGAAAGTGTCATGATAATTAAAAGTCATCCAAATCTTCCATTTGAGAGCGCACTGCGATTGACAATCCTTTGCTACTGTAATTTTTTTTCTAATTTCTTTTGCTGCAATTTTGAAGCATTCATATATATGAAGAAAAATCCATTTATACGTATTTTACTAACGTAGCACATTTTAAAGCTTCTTCATTTAATTTCTTAAAAGATTTTTTCTACTTTAAGAACATTTTTTCTTTTTGAAATGAACTACATAGCATACTTAGGCGTATGATGAACAGTTTCAATTCATAAAGTTAATGGATTTAACCTTCTATCTGTGACAGTATTAGCATATTTTGCCGAGTACTTTTATGAAACCGCTTGAGATTTGTGCTACTTTATTATAGAAAAGGCTCATGTTATAGATATGAGTAGCAAGTAAACATTAGACATTAAAAATTTACTATCAAAATGATTCAAAATTGACTCATAAAATTATTTGAATATATTAAATTCGTGTTGTACGTAAAATTTGAAAATACTTCAATCACTCACAATTGAATAAGAATATTAAAGTATGTTAAGTGCAAAACACTGTTTAAAATTATTAACAACAAATACCCACATGTATAAACAAGATTTAGTGGTGCAATATCCTCCAATATATACTCGTATTTCCTTGACCGCAGCTTAGAACCTGAAGGATATTGTTCAATAACATTGGGTTTAAATTTCTATTTATGTTATTTTGTTGGTTGCTTTTATACAATGGATAATAGTGACGTCAACTTAAATGCTACATTAAGAGCAGCGGAGCAGCTGTGTTACATTTTTAATGCAATATCAGCAACAGCAAATGTTCCACCAAGTATTTACAATAAAATCAGAGACAACTGCAGTAGAGAAGAAAATAGTAATGACAAAAGCATGGAAAAAATGAATCCAAAAAAAGTGCACTTATTTGTAATGCGTTTTTTAAATTGTTTTTAATGGGTTTGTAAAATGTTGTTCTTTTTGTTTGCATATTTCTAGGCGCAGTCACGTACATTTACATTGAGATTTTTGAAATGGGACTGGTTGTGAAAGCAAGGATATTTACTTTGAATTATGCTATTTATGCGAAAATTATGTGTAAGTAAATGGAATAAAACAAAATTATTACAGCTTATTAACATGAAATAATAATATTATAATAATGTTGTAATAATAATAATATTATTATAATAATACTATTATAATGTTATTATTATTATGTATATTATTATAATATTATTATAATTAGTATAATATTATTATTATAATATTATAATACTAATATTATAAAACAAATGTCTACATATTTTTGAGTCTTCCCATTTTTTATTAAAAATTTTAGCATAGAAAGAACTCAGTAAGGTAAGGTATTTAGTTGCTGATAAACTATCTAATGATGAACATTTTTCTAAGCAACTCTTCAACTTTGTACAATTGTTAATATAAACTATTTGCATTTACTATTTCATTATTATGTTTTTTTCGAAATAAAGTAATTTCTTGAAAATGATCAGATTTATTAAATTTTTCTATTTGTTACCACTTAACAAAGAGCTTTAGAGTTTATTTAATACAGTACTTTAGGAATGATCGATTTTAGCAACACAACTGTTCTTACATTTTCTGATAGATTTGCTAAATTGTTACTACATCATAGAGGTTTCAGTAGAATATAATCTAAAAGTTCTTCAAAACTACTTTTGTAACCAAAGTACACTACGAAGCATTGCTTTTCTCAGGTGCGTGTTTTGACTATGTAATAGTTTTTTGTAAGTAAAAATATTTAGTAGAAAACCAAGAAAACCCTAATGCAATGTTGCAAAAACTTTACGTTAGGAATCGAGTAGTAGTTCACAACAGCTGAGTTTTTAATTTCAATTTAAAGTTTTTTTTTACTGATGGATTAATATTTCATCTATTGAGTTTTATAACTGAGCTTATTTTAGCAACTCATAAACGTAATGTTAACTACAAATATTGCTCAAGTTGAAATGGTAATACTAAAAACTTATAATAGCTGTCTTAGATATTTATTACTATGGAGTTGTGAATATTTTAACAAAATACTTGTTATAAAAAAGTAGTTTCGATAAAGTACTGCAACACTAGCTGTAGTTCTAATAATTTATGGAAGAAATTTTAAATTAGAAATATTTTTCCTTCATAAAAAATGAATGTCAAAATGTTGCTGAAAATACAAATTGCATTTTTGTACAAATTTTAGTGCTTCTCGAGCAACGAAAACATAAATTAGTGGACAACTGAAGGAGTAATTGTTGTAGTACTTAGAATTTGAAGTGAAATTTCGTAATGAAATTTCCTGACAGCGAAAAATTTCTTTGAAACTTAAACTAACTGACATATAATTGCAGTCAAAATGTTTTTGCTATTGTGTAGATACCACGTTCGTGCTTGCCCTACATCTACTCTCATTCCACTTACAATGCGAAGAAGTGTAACGTTCACTTAAGTAGAAAATTATTTTAATTTAATTTGTTTAGGGACGTGTTTCACAAAAAAAGAAGGAAAATCACTGCTGAAGAAGTGGAATGTAATAATATTAATAAAAAGAAAACTTAAGTACACTCTGAGACACTGCACTTTTCATTGTTTAATTATTCGTTTAAGTTATAACAAAAGATAATTCTCTCTATGACATTAGCTTCATTAATAAAATGCATTAAATATGTAATAGCTTCAGCGTCGACAGTTTATGGAAAAATATTTAAATTTTCTGTAATTTCCTTTGTCATCAGATTTTCCTTAGTTGATTTCTTAAAGAAAAATTTAATTCTGTTACATATAAGCAGCTTATTTTGTAAAAACTATTAATGAAATGCATTAAATATATAATAGCTTCAGTACTTTTAAGTTATAGAATATTTTTCCTTAAATTCTCTGTAATTCACTTTGTCAGCAGATTTTCCTTTGTTGACTTCTTAAATAGCAATTTAATTCTATTACATAAAAGTAGCTTATTTTATAATAAAATAATAAGTTTGTGTTTTATAAAAGATATTTTTGTTGAAACTTAATTTTTATGAAATAATATTTGCATGTAGTGCAATGTAGCGCCATGTAGTGCAATTGGTTGACAAATTCATTATTCCCTGAAATCGATAAATATTTGCCTGCTATTTTGCATCTATTTTCCATTTTAAAGCTATTTTCCGAGTAAAAAGTTTCACAACACTTCAGTAAATAAATTGGAACGCCTGTTAAATTTACCAAAAATTAATGAACCAAAAAACCAATCCCAAAAAAGTAGGCGTTAATTATGTGTAAAAATCAATTTTCACTTTGTAATTTGTAGGAATGTTAATTTTAAGAAACTCTTATTTAAAGCAAGTAAATTAAAAATAAAAAAAATAGCAATGAGTTGAGTTTGTGTTAGTGAATTTTAAAGAAATTAACATGATATTGATAAAATAATAAAATATTATATATACAAACGAAATATAAAAGTTAAAGAAATTATATTTTTTGTATGTTTATTATAAAAAAATATGTAATAATGTGAAATTTTCTTCATTTCAACACAAATTAAAAAAATTGTCTAACATTATTAATAGAACAATTTATTAACTGTGAAACGAAATTGTAGAAATAGAGTTGTTTGATTTTAAAGTTGGCAACTCTATTTAGTGGTGAACATTTGGCCAAAGCACAGCAAGTTTATTTTCATTTCGCCAATTTAACACTCACCGATTTTGGTTGGCTTTAGAAACAGATGAAATATGTATTGGTCAAAAGCATGTACAGAGACTC